TCGCTGAAAGGATTCTGCCATTGTGCGCAAAACTTCACCCATCTTGTAATTCTGGTGAAATTCAATTACTCTACTTCGAACTTCGATCTACTCTCGCTTCAGCCATGATCTTGCGGGTCTTGTGGTACACTTGTATCTTGCGGTCGAGGACTCCTTCAATCAGTTCTTCGGTTTGGTCGTTCCGGTGGATCAATATGATCTCTTGGATGGCGTTGCGAGCGTCTGAGTTCTTCACTTCAGGGATCTGGGCACGCAACTCGTTGATAACCACGCGTTGGTGACGGGTTAACACGTAAAGGTTTTGGCGTAGCTTAACCGGCAGATCCGGATAGTCGAATAGTTCGCCGATGTCTTTTGTGACCGCGAGTTGACGCTTGCGGGTCTTACTACGGGGCATACACTAGCAGATCACTTAGAACGTGTATGGATTTTATTTCTGAGACTATCCCCAGGTAACGGGAAGCAAAGACCACGTTTTTAAAACCTTTGGCGATGTGTAGACTCTGCAAACGACCACAACAACCGTCTAAGAAGACTGGCTAAGTACAGCGGGTTGACGGGGCTTGGGCGAGGAAACCAGGAAGTGCTACCAATTGTAGCACTGCGGGAGGAAGCGTGTGTAGTTGAGGGCAAAATGCACAATGAATTAACTGAAGATCTACAAAGATCTCCTTAATCCTCATCAATATGAAATCTTCTTAATCTACTTCACTACTTCTACACTAATATACACTTTTGTATACAAAGGATGCGGGTGCGGTTGAGACATTGGGGAACTTCCACTAGGCTAACGATTCTAAGCCATACTTGCCCTTGAGACACATTCCCAGGCAAGCATTAGCTAGGAGGATGCGTCATGAGCCAGGTACTTAGGAGCTTCGTGCGGGCAAGGTGGTGGCAAGGCGTTACCCCACCTGTCACATCGCTACATTTGGCGCGTAGCAAGTTTGGAAAATGCGACTCCGTTGACCAGATTCTCTGTACAAACTATAAATCGAAGTGATCGCTTATAAAAATATAAAAATGCTATACTGCCCTCGCCTAAAGTGCTCTCTTATTACATGCCCAAAAGAGCTCTCTTATTAAGTGGTACTACTACGTATTAGTAGTATTTGACTACTGCTAAAAGACGTCTTGGCCAATCTCTTGTACTACGTAGTAGCGCTGAAGTACTGTAGTTACAGTGCATATCTCTGGTAGGAAGAATTAGGAAGAACCAACTATTTTGGGCATTGCTCCTCCACGTCATGTACCGGTATCCGAATCGAAAGGCTTGCGAATAATCATGCACACACATGAATACATCGATGAGTACCCCCAGAAAGGAATAATTGGCCTCAAAACCATCCCCAATATGGCGTGTAGAACGTTGGCGTCGTCTAGGACCTCGACAGTTGTGACCATGCATGGCTACTGTACAGTACCATTGTATGAAAGCTCCAACAGACACTTGCTCTTTGTATGTTAATTTTGCTTGTGAATTTTAATATGGACAAAATCATTTTATGCAATTTTGAATGGAAATTATATACTAATCTCCCTTTTTAAACGAAACGGGGTAAACTTGATATTTTTGAAACTTTATATTATCCAACCATATCGGAAGGTGAAGACTTTTCAATATTCAAACACTTGAATCGTTTGGCATTGAAATGGGATGACATCATTTCCACTGTAAGAAACTGCTGGAGACGCACTGGCATACTCAGCCTGACTTGGAGATGTCCAGCGCTTGAATGCATGTATAAATAGTTGGTCCAGACATCCTGCAAATACCTGTAAGAGTTAATTTACTGTGTGAATCGCATAATTTGCTCCGTTTCGTTTAAGGGTGGAAATCAGTACTACAATCCATTTGTCCTTCGTAAATCGAAAAGTCTACATTGCGTTTTTGGAAGTGAACGAGAGACTTCCAAAGTTATTAATGTTTTACCCAATGACCGAGAAATATATTCGCTCACAGGATCATTGGTTAAATGGTGATATATTTACCAATACATGATTTTTCAAACGAATGACTTGGTGACTAAGTTTCGAATTGTGATTCGACAAATTTTAAATTGGTTCATCTTTAGCTAACAGTGGTCGAGAGCATCCACAACCCTTTTTACTTCATTGCAGAAAATTATAGGTTGAGACAAGGTAAGGTATGAGATAATTGTGTGACTACACCTGTAACAATTTGATATATTAATATTAATACTACATAGTACTAGTACTTCGAAGTACTCGGAGTATATTTTAAGGATTAGCAGATGTTATCTAGCTTTAGCGATGGTGTTTGGCACGAGTAATCTGATGATTCGTCATCATCTGAACTGGCCTCACAGGAAATGTCAGCAGCGCCTTCGCCGTCTGATGAGCCTTGCTTGGCCTAGCTCATCATCCGCTTCGTCAAGAGTGTCGAGGTATAGACCCATAGCGGCCACTTTGCTCTCTGTGTGACCGGTGCAGTTAAACACACAGTCACTGGTTTTGGGCCAGATGAGAGAATTGCAGTATCCGGACAGAGGAGGCAGATAATTACCCTATTCAATGCATCCGGATAAATAGAAGTTATAAGCTACGAGTCAAATGTTTTTGCAAAGAAGAATTAGGGAATCACAGGAAATTTTAGGGATATTAACAGTAATGGTTTTACCGCGATTTATTCACACATGTAAAGGACCCCGTGTTGGGTCTGAATAAAATATGAAAGGAAAAAAACCTATGGCGGGCACCTTGTCAAGAGGACGAGGAAAGAGTAGAGCACGAGGAACACTTGCGTGGTCGGGAGCGAAACTAGAAGTGACTTAACGGACTGGCTTTAACCATCCGGACGTCTGAACCCGGCGAAGAAGGCGAAAGCAGACAGACCAAAGTGCCCCTCTTGACAGTCACCCCACTTGGCAAAGACTGTGAGGGGTCTTCGACACGAAGGTTCTCACAGATAAGAGGAGTGTCAAAGGCAAAACGGGACTTGGCGAATAAATCGCAGAGACTAAAAGTGCCAAAAGGCAACCCAGACTACGAGGATCTGGGTGCGGTTCACAGGGTGGACGTCGTGCTCCATTGTAGAATCCGTGTGACGAGGTCGTCTTCGTAACTGCTGTGGTAACACAGGCGGTGGTCCCATCGTCTTGGCTGCAGTGTCCATGCGTTTAGCATTCGCCACCCTGTGTGCGAAGCGATCGCTGAGGAATCGAATATGCGTCAACAGCAGCAGGAATTGTTAGCTTCTAGGAGATTACGTCTGCTATGACCAGCTGTGTACTATTGTACGTCTTCGCGGCATTTTGATTTGAAACAAGCTGAACCCCTCATAAATTTGTACTCTTTCGCACCATAAATGTTTGAAGGTATTAGTTGTTGCAGGCTTTTATTTTATCCAATCATATCATTTCTGGAGTTCTACTGGGTAAGTCATTCGGCTGCTCACTGATCCGTCACGTTAGTACAAAAGGAAGCAAATTGATTTGCATAGGTTACAGTATGTATTCTACGTATGTATGCATTTTAACAGTACAATATACCACCCGATTGAAAATGAAGGGGGAATAATATTGCGTTAAATGGGGTTTTGCTCCTCTTCGTATTGATTTTGGTGACTTTTGATTTGTTCTTACACACTGTAGTAGATTGTGAATTGATTGTTTACGTTGCATACCGGTAATAATATATTACTTTGAAGTACTGTACACAGTGCTATGCTTTGTACTAACGTCACTGGCAAACCATTGGTTGTTGTTCCCTAACCATGACGAGGAAAGGGCTTGGGGGAGATGTTCATTTCGAGTCGTCGTTCTAGCGCCCTCAGCCATTTCACGTATGGCTCGTCCACATACACAGTAGCTACATGGGCCACAGCATGTGACGCCACATAACATGCCGCCGCTGCGAGTCTTTTGCCCGTCTCTTCCTTCCAGCCCTGTCCTTGGGCCCAGGGCTTGACGTAATCCCCCATTAACACCATAATGGGCCAATGCACAACGTACACGCAAAACGAGATGCGACCCAAATACCGGCACAACCGGCTTTGAAACACTCGTTGGAGCCATGCCGACCAGCACACGGTGTACAGTATGAGCACCGACCCGAGTCGATGCAGCATCCGCGCATGCTCCTTTTCAAATATTAAGCGGATGAGCGTATCGACACCGCCGTAGTTGGCGGCATACTCTGGTCGGTAGATGAACAGCCACGAGCCAAATAGAAATAGCAACGAGTACGCCGCGTTTGTAACAATGTGCTCTGCCCGCGAAGGTAACCGGTGGATGCATCGACGAACGGCGCTCCATGTGCTGTGGACGGATTGCCAGGCATGATAGATCATGTAGCAGAAGGATAATCCCAGTGATTCCATTGACGCGGCGACCGTGTTGGGGGGGGTGCGGGGAAACACGGTTGCTTCATGACGGGAAACAGAAGATGGTAAGGGGCCATGAGCTAGTTGATGCTGCTGCTTGTTGATAATGTCAGACACAAGAATTCCAAGCACAAAACAGCCAAAGTAGTGACTCTGGCTGCCAGTCCAGTTACCGAACCGGTTGTGGAAGATTGGCAGGGCCACGAGGCACGCCACGACGCGGTGGCGGTATCGCAGCTTGGATAGCATCACGCACACCGCCATGGTAAAGAGCGACCCCTCTAGTTCCACGCGCAATGTCCACAGCGTCAAGTTAAACGGCGGGAAGGTCACAAACAGGGTCTTGAGGACGTCTTCAACAAGGGCCAGTGGCGCAATTGCATGTCCCCGGTACAAAGAGATGAAGATGTGCAGCACCGTGCTGATTACAACCGGCCCCATCAGACGAGGGATGCGGCGGACACCCGTGGACGCCATCGACAGATACGCATCGACATACACGAGGCGCACGGTGGTGGCGTCCCCGTTGGCGACAGCGCGCTCGATGACTTGCAAGCGGGCGAAGAAACGAACGGTGAGGACGAATCCGGACAGAATGAGGAACATCTCCACGGCCGCATTGCCCGCACGCAGCGTGTGGTACCATGTTGTGTCGGCGTACTGTTCCAGGAACTTGAACCAGAACAACAAGTGGAAGGTGACCACGATCTGCGACGCCACGCCACGAATGCCGTCGCACCACAGGAGTGGTGGCGGCTTGTCGCCATGGGGTAGCTTCGCGGATTGCTTGGAGTGATCATCATCGTCAGTATCGGCTGGGACGTCGACAACATGGAGGGTGACAACTTCTGCGAATCAAGGATAAGGGTAAGAAGACTTATGGAGTAAATGGGTAGCCATACATTTACAGTGTACCTGTGCTCTGCAAACGCATGTCCTTGGGGCCAGTGTCGTCACCGTCCAAGAAGCGCCGCACCGGTCCTTGGTCGGCGGAGCTTGACGTCATCATGGCGTCCTGTTGTGTCTCAACTTGACGGACCTGGCGAAGTCCGATGGAAAGACAAATCACAAAATGAATTTGTGCCAGTCGCAAGTACCGTAGTCACTGCGGCTGACAATGAAGTCTTGGCCGACAAAGCCTTCGCGTAAACAATCTTTTTACGATTAAAACAGTACTACTGTTTCTATTCTCAGGAATACTGTTTCACAATAGACCTCTTGACATTACCGAGTCTACTGTAGCCGAAGATAAGTTATACTATTTTACAAAACCACGTTGTCAAATTGCATAATATCCAGCGATACAATTAGTGCGGAATGATTTAAGAAATGACTGAGTGACTAACAAATGTAACGAGGGACTTTATTCGCAGACGAGTTTTTGGAAAATGCGACTCCGTTGACCAGATTCTCTGTACAAACTATAAATCGAAGTGATCGCTTATAAAAATATAAAAATGCTATACTGCCCTCGC